AAGAATGAGCATATGATACTTCTAGTACAAACAAAAGTTGCTTTAGAGGATTTTGATACATTTTTGTTTCTAAAAGAGGTCTATTGTGATATATTCAAATCAAGGTGAATCTACAAAGGAAGGAGTTATCTGATGTAAAGAGAATAGCTGTAATAGTAACTGTTATCAATACCTTGAAGTTTCCTTCTATTTATAAGTAAGCTGAATAAAGTGCTTTTCTGTTGCTACTGGAGTTAGTCTTAGAAGTGAAGGAGAAAGTACCTGTGAATGATGCCATTATATGACATCATATGACATCACAATACTGTACCAACTACTCTGTACCTTGCTCTTTTTCTTTGCGATTCATCCATATTAGCTCAAAAGAGATGCTTTTGTTTTTCTACAGGCTGAATGAATGTGTGTCAGTTAATAAACTATTGTCTCTCAGCTCCAATCTCAGCCTTTTATACTCTGCATTGTAGGGTCCTGAGTAGTGCAAATGGATAAGTGCTCAACTACTAACAGTAAGGTTGGTAGTTCAAATCCACCAAGAGGCACTTCAGAAGAAAGGCCTGGTGATCTACTTCCAAAAAATCAACCATTGAAAATTTCTGTTCTATTCTGAAACTCATGGGGTTGCCGTGCGTTGAAATCACTTGATGGCAACTGGCCAACGACTCTGCATTGTGGTCCTGGGGCTCGTTGTTCAGTGCCATTGAATCAGTTAGGATTCATAGCGACCCTGTGTACAACAGAATGAAGTACCACACAGTCCTGTGCTATCCTCACAATCTTTGCTATGTGTGAACCACTGCGTCAATCCATCTCTTTGAGGGTCTTCTTTTTTGCGACTCTCTACTTTACCAAGCATTATGTCCTTCTCCAGGACATAATCTCCTGATAACCTGACTAAAGTAAGACAGACAATAAAGACATGATAAAATGCCACCCTCACTTCTCAGGAACATTCCAACTGTATTTCTCCCAAGACACATTTGTTTGTTCTTTTGACAGTTCATGGTGTATTCAATATTCTTCACCAGCACCTTAATTCAAATGCATCAAGTATTCTGTGGTCTTCTTTATTCATGTCCAGCTTTTGCATGTATATGAGGTGATTGAAAATACCCTGACTTGGGTCGGGTGCACCTTAGTCTTCAAAGTGACATCTTTGCTCTTTAATGCTTTAAAGAGGTCTTTTGCAGGAATTTTGTCCAGCGTTGTTTGATTTCTTGACTGCTGCTTCCACAAGCATTGATTGTGAACGCTGGGGCTGGGCCTCTGCAAACCTCATGGCTGCCTCTCTGTTAGGTCTGCTATTACGGGACACTAGAGAGGGACTCATTTTTCTTGCTGTGCCTCTCAGCATCACCTTAACAACGACTTTTTACCCTACAGTGGCCAATGGTTGTAATTTCCAGGGTTTGCTTTTTCTTTTTTACTTTGCTGTTCCCAGAACCAGCCTCATTTTGCTAAGAGACATTATAAGCATTCATCAGCAGTGACCCCTTCTCAGAGATTCCATCAACTCCATGAGGCTTCTCTTGCAAACGTCTGTGTTCTAGTAACCTCAACATTTTATCTTTGTTCTCCACCTTAGGGGTCTTAGCTGCTTCCTCTGTTTCCCTTTTTAGCTTTTTTTTTTTTTTTAAGCTCTCCAAGAACTAATTAACCGATACCTTATACTAAATTCTGTTAGTTGAAATCCCTAGTGTGGTTCCTGTTTTCCCAGCTGGGCCCTAACAGATGAATTACCCAATATCAAAAGGGGGTCCAACAAAACTCAAAATCATTTGGAGGCAAAAAAAAAAAAAAGAAAGAAAGAAAGGTGGGGACCAGGTTTGCTGGTCCAATAGAGCCTGGTGTAACCACTGAGACTATGGCCCCTAGCTGCCCTTCAGGTCTGGAATTGAACCCACAACTGTGGTTTCCAGCCAAACAAAGTACAGGCATGTGAGTTAAACATTCACCTCAGGTGGACACACGCCCTGGAGAGAACAATCATGGGAGAAGGAAGGGCTGCTTATGCACAGGGAGATAGCTCATGGGGCAGGAGAGTATGAAGGGATGGACACTGGGAAGAGGTAACTATGGGGAGGAAGTGGGAGGGGAGCTGCTGCATTGTAAATTTTGGTCAATGACATGAGACAAGGTGTATGTGAACTGCTGTATGAAAAGTGAATTTACTCTGTAAATCTTCACCCAAATCCAAATAAAATTTAAAAAACAAAAACAAAAACAAAAGGGGGTCCAACCCACCTGGATCTGCTAGATCAGAAGTGCCAAAAGAGCAGAGCAGTCTGCCCTGCTGTTTGGACTTGCTGTAAAGCCTGCCCTGCTGTCTGGACTTGCTGTAAAGCCTGCCCTGCTGTCTGGACACTCCTGGGATATACCATTGATTGAACTAGTCCTCTGCAGAGGGATGTTTAGGTTTTTCCAAACTTTTGTTACTATAACAATGCATTAAACAACCTTAAATATTGTTTCACTACATATGTGTAAGATATCTGTGAGATAAATTTATAGAATTGTTTGGTCAAAGGGATTGCCAAATTGCCCTTCACTGAGGTTGTACCAATTTAGTTCTCACAGGCAATAAACAGAGATCTATTTTCATGAGAAACAGAAAGGTCAACAAAGGGAAAAGGGAATCAGGTATGACACACTTGTGCATAAGAGGGCCTTGGCTGATGGAAGAGAAAGGTACATCTAAGCACAGCATAAAATCTTGGGCAGTTACTTCTGGCTTGGACTCCACTGATTTCACTTCTAGTCCTTTTGGAGAGAAGGAAGGCTAAAATACAAATGGGAAAAGCTCTCTAAGATACTTTTGTATTCACTTAATAGTTGGCAACACAAAAAGGGAAGAGAAGTGTCTTATCACAGATCACTGCAAGGCTTTGGCAGTTAGAGGAGACATCACACATCTGTCTAGTAGCCATGCTCAATGGAACCTCAGTATCAAGCAAATGTGGCTGTGGGTCCAGCAGCAAGAGTGACACCCACAGATGCGTGGGTTCAAAAAGTTCCAAATTTTTTATTATTTATATATAAAATAGCTATAGCACATATGAGATCCTTTCCAGGGACTCCCAAAAACACTTGGTTGAGATTTTGCAGGGCACTGGATCTGTTTCCTGCAACAGCAAAGAGTAAAACACAGGGGACAAAACGCTCATTTACTAAGCTTGTCCCATTTTGTATTTCAACATTTTTGCCTCACACACTAAACAACAAAATAAAATATTCTTGTTCAAGCCCTTATAATTTTATATCTTTAGTAAAACTAGGTTACTTTTACAATCTTTTTGTTGTCATTTATCCTCTGCTTAGAAGAGCTCTACTGCAGTTACCATTGTCTTCATTTAGCAGACAGGCTGCAATCTGCTTACCTTGGCTGGTTTCACCTTAGCATTATGAGGTAACAAAACTATGTGTACCAGAGCTGTGTCTCTCTTACCAGGTAAGATCTGGGCTGCCTTCCTGCAGAGCACTTTTGTTTTATGTTCTACTATGTCTTGTTTGTGCCATTCTTAATTTGCACAACAGAGATACTCTCATCACCAATTAACATTTATCAAGGCCCCCCTTGATGCATGGCTGCATAGGGACTAATTTAATATTCTCTTTGTTTGAGATACCAAGTAGGTCCTTCAAATGAATTTTTAAGTATCTCACAGGTGACAGAGAAGAACAGAGATATCAATTAGCATTCAGGAATACAAACCTTTGCAGAAAATGCTTAAAGGAGAGCATCAAAGATTTGTGTTAATATTTGAAAGTTTAAAAGAGGGTATACTTATATGCAATCACCAAATGACAAAAGCAAGAGGTACTGTATTCATTGTTCCTGGAAGAAGCCTGGCAGCATTCCATTCAGACATCTGTCTTTTGATTATCCCACGCTCCCCTATTGAAGTCCTGCTAATCTTCAAGGCTAAGTCTGAGTATTTCTTCCTGAAGCTTTTTCTAATCATTTCTGTTCTTAGGAATGATTCCTTCTTCCTAAATCTCATAGCCATTATCATTTATGCTTCTCATTTGGAAAGGTAGCACGTGATACATTCATTTTTCCCAACTGTGTTAGAAAAATGAACAATTTCTTTCCCAATCTTCAGGGTCAGCACAATGTTTTCTGCCAGCGGTAGAATCTCAAGAAATTCTTGATGATCGCGATAATGTATTAAAATCAGATGGAAATTTATTTTAAAAGGGTGGGTAGTTGCAACTGAGGACCAGCTTTAATAAACGTTTACTAATTTAAGTGCTGTATGTATTTTTTTTGTTTGTTTGTTTTTTGCGGGAGTAGCGGAGATAAGCAAAGAGAATTTCGCTGGAAGACGATAGAAGTTTGTCTTTCAACATTCAATATAAAGTTTGTTTTCTTAACCTGTCTAAGCTGTATTTATTTTTTGGTTCATCCCCTTTGATGTGATAATAGTGTACCGTGGCTGTCGGTTGTAGGAACTGTTATTTATTTTAAGAAAGACATTCGGTTCCGTTATACATTTTGGAGTTAGCAATACACCTTCACGTCTGATGACGTTAAGAACATCCGCCCAGCGACGCCTGCTACACATTATTGCCCCTAGAACGCCGACCCTTTGTTACACAGGATTCCACAAAAGCTGAAACCTTCGATACCATTTCAGAATGAAGCTCCCGCGGGGCCTCGCCCCTCCGCCTCCGGGAGCCTCATTGGCCAGTCTTCTGCTCGCTACCTCCCGCCGGTCTTCTGGATTTGGCACCAGGAGGTGGTTGTCTCCCTCCGGTGTTTATTGGTAGAATTTTAATGACGGTGAGAGAATCTCCGAGTCTCCATTGGTTCTTAGGTTAGAAAATGGGCGGCGAATGACAGAGCGAGTAGTCTCAAGGAGGGAAGCGCCAAATGCGCCGGCGCGTAGTCTGGGCCGCCGGGTCGAGGCTTTTCCTTGGGAACGAACAGTTGTCGCCCCGCCCCTTCGGGGCTCTTTGTCCCGTTAACTGTCGGAGTGGAGGGTGCGTCAGCGCTGGGCGACATGCCGGTGCGCTTCAAGGTGAGGCCAGGGTTCCTAGGCCCCAAGGCGGCTGGGGAAAGCCGCGGCGGGGCGGGTACGGGGCGCCGGGGCCAAGCTGGGTTTCTGCGCTCCGGCCCTCGGCCCCGCAGAGGCTGTCAGACGCGAGCCTGCTACAGTTTTAGGGATACAAGTCTCCTCTTATCTGGCTCCCTCTCTGCTCACATAAACTTCTGCGTTGCTGCGTGGGTGTTAGATTTATTTTAGGGGGTAGACAGGCTGGGGAGAACTAAATGCGATTTTTAAGGTTGGGGCACGTATGCCCCATCTCACCTCCTAGTATTGAAACCCACTTCCCGTTAAAACTTTGAAGTGTGTGTATCTTTTTAAGGCTTGAGAAATGTGCCCTTAGTAAAGACAAGAGTATAAGAAACATTTATATTTCCTAGTTGTGCACATGTTTTAGTATTTGTTAACAGTTCAGGTAGCAGCTGTCAGGGCCTAGGACCCTACAACATAATAGGTGCCCACAGCCTCCCACAAGTCCTGTCTTTCATCTTAAGTCGTGTATCCAGAATCGGAGGGAAATTTGTCTGTCTTTGGGTGACTTTACCAAATTTTGAAAAGGTACAGGGTACATGTGATATTGTGTACTCCGTGAGAATTTAATTAGGATAATCTATAATGATTAGTATTTAGATTGTGGCCTGTTACCAGACAAGAGCAGGGCCTTACAATCAGCCAGAGAAAGCAGTTTCTCTGAGCCTCCATTCCTGCTAACATCTGCCTCAAGTGGTTGTGAGGATTAAAGGAGATAATGCATAACTGCTTAGCACAGGGCTTGGTAAATATTAGCTGTTATTAGGGAGCTCTTCTGTATTTAATTACCATTTGTAAGTCTCTCAACCTTTTTTAGGAGGCTCAGAAATGATCTTAATTGATACTTTTTTTCTAAATGATGTTTATTAATTGCACAGTACTCTACTTGTACTTTGCATTACAGGGGCTGAGTGAATACCAGAGAAACTTTCTGTGGAAAAACTCCTATTTGTCAGAGTGCCGTAATCCCTCAGTAGGACAAAAGTACCCATGGGCTGGACTTAGATCAGATCAGTTAGGTAAGTTGAGCAAACTAATGTTGTTATAACTTGAGTAAACCTGGTCTAACTTTGCAAAACCATTTATTTAAATATTGCGAAGCATTGTTCTGTTGGGTCGGTTGACTTAGTCATTTGTTTATTTAACAAATACTTTTTGAAGGTTTACTGTGGGTCAGGACGATTACCAGCTACTAGGAAAATAGCCCTGAATTAACTCAATAAACAAACAAGGAGATTTTGTTGTTGTTGTTGTTGTTGTTATGTGCCATCGAGTCGGACCCAACTCATAGCGACCCCTCCTTGGGTTTCTGAGGCAGTATCACTATGGAAGTAGATTGCCTCATCTTCCTTCTGAGGAGTGACGGGTGGGTTTGAACCACCAGCCTTCTGGTTAGCAGTCAAGTACCTCAGGCATTATGCTACCAGAGCTCCCAAGGAGATTTTAGGTTGTTAGATAAAATTGTATGGCAATGTGATAGATAACTTGGGGGAAAGATAAATGGGAAGGATCATTTTAGATTCAATGGTTAAGAAAGGCCCTTCTGAGGAGGTGATATCTGAACCTGGACTTGAAAGCTGAGAAGGGACAGGCCTGAGGAAGAGTACTCCCCAGGGGAATGGAAGCTTAAGACTAAGTAGTTCGCCCAAGGTTCATTGCTAATAAGTGACAGAACCATGATTTAAAATCAAGTCATCTTTGTTTCAAAGCCCATGAGTTCAGAGCACATTTTCTAGTCCTCACATCTACTTTCTTCCCATGTCCCAGGGAAGTCAGGACTCTTGACCAAGGTTTCCCTGAGTATAGTAGAAAGGAAAGGAGACAGACTGCCTTTATTTTAACCGCTTGTTTAATTCTCCCTAACTGGAATATAAGATCTCCAAGAGCAGATTTCTGTCTTACCACCATCACCCAGTGTTTATACAGGGGCCTTGCTACACCTTAATGCTTTTTAACACTAATTTTTGAATGAATGAATAACCTTGAGTTTAAATCCAGAATAGCTGTGTGACGTTGGGCAAACAGAATCTGTTTTGCCAAGTGGGAATAAGGATGCATAGTGCTCTGGTGGCATAGTGCCTAAGGCATTTGACTGCTAATCAGAAGGCTGGAGGTTCAAACCCACCAGCCACTCCTTAGAAGGAAGACTGAGCAATCTACTTCCATAGATACTCTCTCGGAAACTCAAGGAGGTGTCGCTAGGAGTTGGGACCGACTCGATGGCAGTAAGTTTGGTTTTTGGATTGCTGTTGCACAGGATTGTTGGTGGGGGATTAAATAAGATTTTGCGTGTTAAGGCCTGGCATATATTCACATCAGTGTTTGGTGCCTCATATGTGATATGTGTGAGAGTGCCCAGCAAATCCCTCAAATGTTAGATGTTTGAAGCCAGGAAAGTAGAAGATACATGCATGGGGTGTCAAGCCTGGGAAGTTAATGAGAAAACAAGAGTATTCTAGGTTTAGGTTTGGAGAACAAAAATAAGGGTGGTCTGGAGTGGGTGGCTTGTTTTAGGGTTTCTGTGGAGTATCAGGGTTCTTAGCCCATAGCTTGACTCCAGAGACTGGGTGTCCCTGCTTCTCAGGTGTGGTAGGAGTGCCCCTCTGCTCACAATCCTGTTTCCAACTGACCATACATTTGCATTTCCAGTAGATTAAGAATAGCGTAGTGCCTGAGGCACTTGACTGCTAACCAGAAGGTTGGTGATTCAAACCCACCAGCCAATCCTGGGAAGGAAGGTAGGGCAATCTACTTCCATAGTGACATCACCTCGGAAACCCAAGGAGGGGTCTCTATGAGTCAGGTCCAACTCGACTCGATGGTACATAACAACAACAACAACAAGAACACAAAACAAATCCCTTTTAAAGTTTAGACATACCACTGAGGGCCTAGAGGGATCTTATGAGGCTGGAGAGTTGGTTAACCAGATGTAGTTGCCTTCATGACATTTCAGCTGCATTTGAAGGTAGAGTGATAAATGGACCAATACCACTTTGGAGCATGGCATGTTATGAAGGAAGGAAGGACCCAGATAACAGGTGGACTCCGCACCCTAGGTGTAGGGGGATGAGAATGCCAGGATGTTTGGAAAGGGATGTGGGAGTTCAGCAAGGAACAACAGCAAGTCTACCTAAGACTGACTGTACATCTTTTTAAAGTAGTGTGTTTTTCCCCTGGAGTTCCTGGGTAATGCAGTCAGTTAATGCACTCAGCTGCTAACTAAAAGGTCAGTGGTTCAAGTCCACCAAGAAGGGCCTTGGAAGAAAAGCCTGGTGATCTACTTCTGAAAAATCAGCCACTGAAAACACAGGAGAGCTTAGTTCTCTCTGACTGACAAGGGATTGCCACAAGTTGACATTGACTTGAACAACTAGAAGGAAAATGTTTTTCCCTGGAGATTCACTGGTGTTGGGAGATAAGGGCAGACTACTTGAGACTCCTTTGCTTTCATTTTTCTCTTCTACCAGAAGCCCAGCTCTGTGTTAAAGCAGGAGGAAGTCTAGGACAGTGGCCTTCATAGTTTGTTGCTTCATATTCCCTAAAGAGGAGCTCTGGTGGCATAGTGCCTAAGGCATCTGACTGCTAACCAGAAGGCTGGTGGTTCAAACCCACTAGCCACTCCATGGAAGGAAGGTTGGGCAATCTACTTCCGTAGTGATATCACCTCAGAAACCCAAGGAGGGGTCGCTATGAGTTGGGTCCGACTCGATGGCACATATCAACAATAACAACAACAGTAAAATCTCCTTGTTTGCTTATTGAGTTAATTCAGGGCTATTTTCCTAGTAGCTGGTAATCGTCCTGACCCACAGTAAACCTTCAAAAAATATTTGTTAAATAAACAAATGACTTAAGTCAGCCAACCCAACAGAACAGTGCTTCGCAATATTTAAATAAATGGTTTTCGGGGCCGACTCAACAGCAGTGAAAGATCCCCTAAAAGAATTAAGAAAATTTTTGTATCCCTTTATACATTTTGTTATTGTTGTTTCCAGTGAATCCTTAATTGAATTGCCCACACATCTCCTGTTAGATTGTGTTGTAGGTCTGCTTTATTTTGCTTTAGAATGTGTCAGCATGGGTAACTCATTGTACAGAAACATCTTTACAAAATCCATAGTCTAGATTTTCCTGAAGGAGCGGCACAAATCAAGACACTCTTCTACAGTGTGTATCAAGTAAAACTAGGAGCCAAGAGAGCAAACTGCATTCTGGCAAAAGCTGGTTCCATGGCCTCAGTAGGAAGCTAGAGGAGAGCAGCCCCAGTGCTCAGATTGAGTCTCTATGCAGGTGAAGCAGACACTCCATTAGGAAGCAGACTGGACTGGTCCTCACACATTTTTAAATTGATATTTAATTTTTTTTATTATAAGTTTAATGAATAGTTTCAAAGGGTGTAATTTCTGGCATAGTGAATAGTGTGTATATGTTTTAAATACATTTTGTTAAAACTTTTAGCTGCCAATTTTAGCTCATTAAGTTTATAAAAAAATGTTCATCATCTACATGAAAAAGTCAGTCCTCATTGACTACCTTGCCAACTTACACATAGCTTCTGGGAGCTCTGGTGGCATAGTGCCTAAGGCATTTGACTGCTAACCAGAAGGCTGGTGGTTCAAACCCACCAGTCACTCCTGGGAAGGAAGGTTGGGCAATCTACTTCCGTAGTGATACTGCCTGGGAAACCCAAGGAGGAGGGGTCGCTATGAGTCGGATTTGACTTGACGGCAGTGAGTTTGGTTTTGGTTTTTCTGTTAGAAAAAAGTCAAGCTTTATTTTTTAATTAAAAAAAAAAAAATGTGTTAACATGGACTCAACATGATAACCGTCTCAGGCCTGAATTTTAATTCTAAGATTGATGGATTTTGGAAAAGGCACAAAAGCTGGATGAAATAAGGCCCCATCCCTTAGTTATTTCTAATCTCTCCTCTTTGCTTTGCTGCCACATGTTCTCCCTTGGGAAGTATACTTTCTTCAGTTGTGTCTTTGTCCCCCATCAACACCAAGATTTTTTGATGCCTTGGGTTGATGTACCATAGTACATTTCAGGCTAGTTGAGAGGTACACCCTTCTTTTGTGCTGTGGGAAAAGGGTGATTTTGAAAGAGGTGCTGGGAGATGACAGTAGATGGCAAGTGTAGCTCACAGGCAGATTGGTGTTAGGAAGAAGTACACCTGGAAGTTGAGGATCTAGAAGATGATTTCCCTTAAGCTGCCATTTTTGCTCCCCTCCCCAGCCTCCCTGGAATGCCTTTATTTTCCTCAGGACATGCATGTGGCACCCAGTTTGAAGACCACTGGTTTAGGTTTGATGGCTGAAATGTACGTGATAGATACTAAGGAGCTCTGGGCTTTATCTCATGCTAGATTTTCTGTCTACCATCACACTCCTCTCCTTCCATTCTAATCTTAATCTTCCTTTCCTGCCCTGCACAGTTGTCTATTTAAAGAATGGCTCCAAACTAGGGCAGTATCTCAGTGGCTGTCGTTCCATAGAGCTCCTCTTACCTGGTTAGAGAGTTACGTTTTTTGGACATTTGCTTGGAAGACAGAAATATAGAGAAATCGTATCTTAGCTCTTGGTAAAAGGGCTTATTCTTTTTAATTCTCAGGAAATCAAGGCTAAGGTAGAACTAAGATCCAGCATAATGACATCTCATCCCTTCTCATCTTGGTCTATTCTACATAAGAGAAGCTTTGTGAAAAGTTCCAAATTTTGACAGTACCAAGGCCCATTGTTCTATTAAGTAGCACAGGAAAGTAATTAGAAACTGAGGCAACATGTGCTGCCTAGTTTGCCAGGTTCATCACACCGTGATTTTAGTGATGTAGGGTAACTTGAACATCGTGACCCTAATTTTTAATTTTTTGTTACAATCAAACTTTTAATACTTCTTTAAGGTTATATATATATATATATTCTGTAATTTGAAGGATATTTTATATGGATCAACTGAATTTTAAGTTCATTTGCTCCTCTTACAGGTGTTGTTAAAGATTGTCTTTGTAACTTTGTGCTTTGGTAGCTTCTATTTTTATATGCTATGTTTTATAGGAATCACTAAAGAACCAAGTTTTATTTCAAAAAGAAGAGTCCCTTACTATGACCCACAGATTTCAAAATCTCTTGAGTGGAAGGGATCTGTCTCAGAGAACAATGTGTCACCAGAACCTGAAGCACCAATATTGCAAGAGACAGAACAAAAAGAAGATGCTAACCAAGAAAAAGTTCTCAACTTGGACATTTCCAGAGTTCCCAAGAGAACCAGATCTCACTCTGCAGACTCCAGAGCTGAAGGGACTGTAGACTGTGTGGAAGATAATGAGGGTGTAATAGCAGACCATACACCAGTTAAGGAAAATGTAGAACTGGAACACTCTACCAAGCCTCTTTCAGAAAAAGTGGATAATGGGGTAGGTATATTCACTAAAAACAGAATTTTTTGTAAGATACATCATCATTTCAGTGTTAGATTTTATGCTTAAAAATTTTCCTTGTTTTTTTAATATCTATAGAATAGTTGATAAGATTGTTTACTTTAGTTATTGTGAATTAGTTCTGTTGTTAATACTTACTATTTTATATTGGATATACTAAGATACCCCTTCATTTGGAGAGCAGCTTGCTTCTGGATTTTATTCAACATATATCAACCCTCAAGTCCTAAGGGAGAGATCAAGTTACAGTAGAGAAGAGGGGGAGTAGGCCATTACTTCTGGCAAGGGTGGAGAGCTGACTTCTACTGAGCCCCTTTTCAATTTCTTATCGTGTACTGGCAGGAAAATAACAGAATCTCAAGTGATAAGATGCAAAAGGAAGGAAAGTTCTGGCCCATGTCAGAGATCTTGTAGTTCTGCTCTCTTATGTCATAGCTGGCCTGTGGAAGGTCCCTGCGAGCACATAAACAGAGGCTCCAGCATCCTGGGCAGAGAACTCACTGCCTCCCGCACTGCTTTCTCCACCCCACTGCTGCTGCTCCATTTCATGTCCACCATTGGCTGGAACCACAGAGAGGCATTTAGGAGTATTGGAGAAGCTGTGGCTTTTTGAGAAAGCAAGGGGGGCACAAGGTGATGTGTGAACCTGGTGGGCAAGGAAAGGGGTGTCTACAGAAATGATGGGTGGATAAGGCAAGGTACTTTTGTTTCTCAGTAATAAATTTAATTATGAATTATTGGTAGCATGGGACTGAGAGATGCGTCTCTCTCAAGAATGCATAATAATTCCTTGACAATATTAAGAAGGAATTTTAAACAGTTCAAATGTTTAAAAGGGAGATCATAAATTGAAAAAGTTTGGATAGATAAATTTTTAATGCATTTAAGTGGGATTTTTATTTTCTTCAACAGTTGGATAGACTTCTACGAAAGAAAGCTGGATTGACTACTATACCTGCACATAATGCCTTGAGAAATTCTGAATATCAAAGGCAGTTTGTTTGGAAGACTCCTAAAGAAACTGCTCCGGTGTTTGCAGCCAATCAGGTAGTTTAATGGATGTAATACATGTTTGAATATCATCATTTGATATAGTGATGCAAGTGAACATAGAACTACGAACTGAAAGAAATTAGATATTTAAGTAGACCTAGAGGTAGGTTCTAGAAAAGTAAAAGAGTTTTGTTAAAATTGTCCTATTACTTTTGATTTATAGTAGTAATATTATACTGTCCTAGGCTACTGATGATCATTGTTACCAGACCCATCACATAAACTAAATGTGAGACAGGTAATGAAAACTTGGGGGCCTGGTAAGTTTTTGCATGCTATAAGACTTATTAAATTTATTTAAACATGTATCAAATTGGTTTTATACTAAAATGTTGTGTTTAGTTGACTGATGACATTGCATGTTTTCTGTATTCCAAGAAAGGCATAAATGCCTTTTGGATGTTTATTTTAATAAATACAAAATATGTTTAAAGTAATATAAGATAAATTTATCTTTGTATTCTGATATATAGTAACAGGATAGTTAGTTTAACTATATTTATAAAATTCAGAAACTGTCATGATAACAACTGTGATACTAATTTGCACAATTATAGCTATTTGACCACCGTTGCTTATGTTCTATTGTTTTAGTAGTATCTTCCTCTGTACTGTCTAAGGCTCTGAACTCTCATTTGTGTTCCTAACCATACACAACAACACTCGGGAGGAAATGCTTCCACTTAGAATACCCCCAGAGGCCCATGGTTTAGTCTTTTCTTTCTCCTGGTCTCTTTTTCTTTAAACACACATGCACCTTCACACACCCTCATGTTCAATTTCTTATGTATCTCACATTTACTTGTATACTTCATATGCCTGTAAGGACTGAGAGGATTATTCGATTCAACAAGACAGTAGCATAGCTATCTTTCACTAAGATGATAACACTAAAGAACCTATAAATTATAGCAGCTTTGGGCTTATTTGTTATTCAGTACTTAAAAACAACAACAACAAAAAAAACCTTTGAAAATTTCTAAAACCTTGTAAGAACATGCCATAACATAAAGTGATAGGTATTCATATCAACCTAATAATAGCACCAGCACTTCTTTTGCTTGCTCCAGATGTTCTTGCATAGAAAGTGTGCCTACAAATCTACTTACAACCTGAAAATTGTGTTTATTCAGTTTTTGTAAAGTATTTGCCCTTTCAGCTAGGGCTAATTCAAATCCAAACCTGTTGACAACTTTTACATATGTCAGTGAAAGCACCGTGTAGAATTACTATTTTTATAGGACCAGAAGTACCATAAAAAACAAATCGTTACCAATATCTTCACTAGTAGTTTTATTGCTTTCATTAGTGAATTTCATAGAATTTGTTTACAAGCAAATGTTCTTTGTTGTTCAAAGCATATCAGTTTCAGTCTTCTTGAAGAGCTCTGTGACAGAAGCTTTTAATGCTTGTTGATGGAGGACCTCTAAAGGAATTGTTCAGTGCTACTTTATTAAACACCTGTATTCTGAAAGGATGTCTTATATTAATGTGTAAGGGAGCCAGAACAATCTTTGGAAGTAGGATCTTTGAGGTTACACTACACCAAAAAAGATGCATTATTTGGATTTGATAAGTGAGGATGAGCTTTTCAGCATTATAAAGAAATAATGAGCCTTATTTGATCTATGTATCTTTTCCTTTTGCTTTCCTTGTAAACAGTGGTAATGTGCCAATAAAATGGAGACCGTATTGTGAAATATTAAGTATAAAAGGAAACATTTAAAAATAGAAACATAATAATTACCTGTTTTTTTCCTTGCCTTAAAAATGTTAAAAAGCAAGCATATAAAAAGAGAAACAAATCAAACATATCAGATAATGAAAATGTTAAGAATTTTCCATGTTTTAGGAGAAAAAAAAATTTGTCAAGGAGAAAAAACTGTAGAGTTGACAACAGTTGCCTTATAAAGGCAGTTTCACAGAATTGCCTTATAAAAGCAGTGAAATTGATCACTGATTACTAGTGCACATACTGGTTAATGGCCATGTTCATCCTTAAAATATACTTGTTTTAATTATCCCTTTATCAGACTTACAGATGGAAGAATGGGGAACTTTGGGGAGAAAAGATAAAACACAATCTCTTTCATGATTTCTATTGGCTTAAGCATTGTTTTTATCATAATACACTCTGGTGGCATAGTGCCTAAAGCATTTGACTACTAACCAGAAGGCTGGCGGTTCAAACCCACCAGCACACCTTGGGAGGAAGGTTGGGCAATCTACTTCCGTAGTGATACCACCTTGGAAACCCAAGGAGGGATTGCTATGAGTTGGATCCGACTCGACGGCAGTTAGTTTGATTGTGTTTTTTTTCAAAACATAGTAATGATTATAGAAAGTTGACCTTAGAATGTTAATTAGACATATGAAATGAAATTATATAACTTTGCTTGTTTTGCATTCTATAATTTAACTCTATAGAGTTTTTTTTTAATATCTGAATTCTGTATATTTAATCAACAAAAAAGCAACTAAACTAAACTAATTTTCATTTTAAGGTTTTCCACAATAAAAGCAAATTTGTTCCACAATTCAAAGGTAACTCAATCATCCATGAAACAGAATACAGAAGAAATTTCAAGGGCTTGTCTCCAGTGAAAGAACCAAAGTTAAGAAATGATTTGAAAGACAACAGAAATCTTGAAACTCTATCTCCTGAAAAGAAGGTATTCATTAACCCTTAACCTTAAAACAAAATGTTTAGATTTTAGACTCACCATGTTTTCTTTCACTTACTACTACTTACAGTTTACTTTTTAGCAACATATTTAATTCATTTGTTTGTCATTCAAATATCAAATATACATTGAGTACCTACTTGGAGCCAGGTACAGGTAGGTCCTGAGAATGAAAGGTCAACAAACATATTCAGCCCAAGCAGCTCTTGGACTAGTGGGGAGACAGAAACGTAAGTGGCTGAATATAACTAAGTGTGATAGAGTAGAGTCTTCTGTGGAAATGTCAAATGATTGACCTTGCAGTAATTGAGTTCCAGGGCTAACGAGAGTGATAGAAACACCTATTTTAAATTAAATAATAGAAAATAAACACATAAACTCATGCACACATGTATTTTAGAGATTTAGCATGCTAAATTATAGTCATGATTATCGTAGGTTACAGGAAGATCTCCTATATGAAATTATAGCCATTTAACTTGTGGTGTCAGGCTAATAATGTAAATTATAGGTAAATGGGATAAAAATATTTTCCAGTCTCCTAGAATATTAATACCTATTGATGAGCCCTCAAAAAAGAAAGTATATGACTAGAAGTAAAATGATTTCCAGATATATAGATATACTTTTTTTGGATTTATGCCATCCCTGAGGAGAATAAAAGAATTTTTAACTCATTCACTACAGTAACTTACTCATTGGGATTTGACATTTAACTTCTGTAATACACTTAATATAGCTTTAGAATAGTAAGGTCAAATGTAAGACCACTGTTAATAGGTAGTAACATCAAGCTTAATTGTTCATAAGTTTATTTGTTAATTATTTTTTCTCTAACCAAAGATCTAAAATACTTATTCTTAGAAAATGAAACTATATCCTGAACTGCACTTGACAACTAATCAGATGTACTCCTTTCAAGCCTAGCTTGTGGATTTCTTGTGATTTAAGTTTTATTTTTTGTAGTTAAAACTTACTTCTGAAAACAGAAATGTAATATAGTATCCAAGCCTAACTTGACAATATATGTTTTCACTTGGATGTGTGATGTATTTTGGCAGGTCTAACTTCATAATATGTATGTTTTCACATTAGTAATTTACTTTTTAAGTGTAATTTAAGTTTGGTCTTAAGCATAATTTAAGTGTAATTATTTTAAGCTTAATGTATTTTAAGTTTAAATTATTTCTATTTTAGTGTAATAAAAAAGACGATCATTTAAAATCAGAAGCAGAGATGGAATCAAAAGACTCAAACCAGCCTAAAAAGAAGGTTACTCCTTGGAGACATCAAAGGCTTGGGTATTTATTTTGTAAGAAATAGATCATAGTATTTAGATGATAAACATAGCAGAATATTTATTCTCATTTCATTTCTATTAGGAAGGTGAATTCTGAATATAGAGCAAAATTTCTGAGCCCAGCTCAGTATTTATATAAAGCTGGGGCTTGGACTCGTGTAAAGGAAAACATGCCAAATCAGGTGAGTATTTATAAGCTTAGTAAGCGTGTATTTTCTTTTGGCCTGCATAAAAGTTTAATTTCACAGTGAACTTCATTTAGTAATAATGACTGTAATTAAAGATCTGTGTTTAAATAATAGCACCAAAAGTATCAGGAATTTAAAGTTGTAGGAATAAGATATAATTTATTTGTGTGTTTATTTATAAGCTAGCTCCTTAGAAATTAATTTTTTGTTATTAAAATCTTTAAAGTTAATATCTTTTATAATCGCATATTTGATTGAGTTAATCACAGTTTGCAGAATTATAGCATTATAGATTTGATTATTTTATATCCAGACCTCCACTCTCCTGACTAAAGACTGATTAATTTTTAAGATTATTGAATTGTCAAGGTTAAATGATTGGTCAAGATGTATCTTACAGTTTGTCAGCAAAAGGAAAGGGGACTGTGCTATCAGAGGTTTGGGTTGTGTGTTAGAATCGCCTGACATACAGGAGAAATGCTGGGGATCTAATGAAACATTTGAGGGGAAGGGTGAGCCTAGAGTTTAGTATTAGCCTCATATGGGGAAAAGATAAAAGAGTGGATATTTTTTGGTTGTTATATAACCATCTTTTAAACAATATCATTACAGTTTTCTGTGAATTTGTGAATAAACTAGATTAAAACATTTTAGTATAGATTAGACATTAAGATATTAGTAAACATTTCTCCCTGCCTTTTTCCCTCCTATTCCCTATGTCATTGTAAAGAGAGTGAGTTTGGGTGGAGAATAAAGTTTTTTAGCTCAGTACTTAGCATCATGGCCAACAATTAGGTATAATCAGCCTCCAGGGGAAGATGCTGCCCTCTGAGCTGCAGGCTCTGAGTTGGTGGTTCTCAGACCTATGTCTTGGCGACTCCTGTGTGCCACATGTTGTTTTGGGAAGTTACTTGATTCCTTCCTCCATGGCTGTTCTTGGTGCTCTCTACTCTATTTAAGCTTGGTTACAAGGCAACACATGTAGAATAACAGACAAAGCTCAAAGCTGTCCCACATATTCTCTGCAGCAACATCCACATATTCAGCCTGGTGAAATAAAGTTAAAAATAAGAGCAGCAAGAGCAGCCAGGATGGAAGAACGGAAGGACGTCTGCTGGACTCTCAAGCAGTTTATGACCCTTCCAGACCTTGATGAGGAACTCTGTGTCTGGGAGTCTAGTAGAGAGTGAAGAACGGCCAGGGGAAAGAGGAGGACACAGTGTGACTACAGAGGGCTAGTATGGCCAACAAGAAGGTGTCAGCCACTGGCTTGTCAACTTTAGTACTTCAGTAGATTGTGGTCATGAGAAGCTCCTTGTTTGGGAAAGATGACTTGTTTAAGATGAGGTGGTTTTTAGATCTCAAATCTAAACACTTAATGGATTGAGAGGACTATTATAACTGAAGTCATGATAAGGTGAAATTCCTTAACCTGCCCTGATGTAAGAGAATGATTTTGTTGTTTTTAATTTAGGATCTAGCTAAGATTTTCTATTTTGATAACTTGATAAAGTGACTTTTTTGTTGTATTAATTGCTGTTGGTGGTTGTAAATATTTAAATTAATGGTATAGTTTGCCCTAACTTCTTTGGGCAAAATAATTCTAAAAGTAAATTGGAGTTAGAAAAGAATAAGAATCTTTAAGAAGTCAGTGTTGAACGGTGCTGATGACAATTTTAGTTGACCAAGTTACAGACATTTAATATGGACCATGTTTTACTTAAATAGTTGTTTTTTACTGGAAGATATTTTGCTATATATGTGGCTGATTATGAGTACCTGAATATAAGAGACTTTCATTTTTCAAGTAAGAGGACCTATATAAAAGGAGCTCTGGTAGCATAGTGCCTAAGGCACTTGACTGCTAACCAGAAGGCTGGTTCAAATCCACCAGCCACTCCTTGGAAAGAAGGTTGGGCAATCTACTTCTGTAGTGATACTGCCTTGGAAACCCAAGGAGGGGTCACTGTGAGTCAGGTCTGACTCAAGGGTACATAACAACAACACAACAACATATAAAAGAGTTTTAATCTACTTTCCAACTCATCTCCAATTGCTGTGGAAATATATTTGTTTTTAGGGATCGAGATGTTTGCGTTCATATTTCATTTAATAACTTAGACACAATTACAATCAATATAAAGTAAAAGCCAATTGACAAATTCAACTTTTTCCAACTCCTAACATTTTTTGAAGGAGTATTATGAAACTCTTCATATGCACTTTAGATATCACTGACTTTATTATTACTAAAATGTTAACTTGCCTTTTTGAGTCATGTATCATCTTTATTTCATTCTATATTGTTTGAGATATGATACTTTTTCAATTATTTCTAGCTTGTTTATGGTGTTAGGTGCTACTGTGTGGATTCCTACTCATTACCATCCCATGGGACAGAGTAAAATTTCCCCAAAGAGTTTGTTTTAGCTGTAATCTTTATGGAAGCTGATATGCAGGTCCTCTCAGGCAGAGCTGTTGGATGGGTTCAAACCACCAATCTTTTGGTTGGCAGTTGAGTGCTTAACCATTTGAGCTAGCAGGGCTCCTATTTATAGTTTAGTCACTGGGTGTTTTACCCTAACTTTGAAGTACTTGTTCATATAACGTTAGAGTGGTTGTTTTTATTTGTCTCTTGCTTATATGTCATCTCCAAAGGATTTGTTTTCAATAATAACTGGCAATTGCAATTGTTATGTCCTTTGCCTACAAAAAATACTCCATCTGTGTTAAATTTCTTTTTCACTTGATTGTTAGGTAATCTTAATTATCCAAACAATATTCATTGAGGTAATTTTATTCTAATGTGTCTTCCACAATTAGAATTTTGTTTAAAGTCCCACATTTGAAAGACATCCTGTAATTTTAGATACACTGGAAGGCCTATATATAACTGACTTCATTTTTGAGGAAAACAAGTTTTGATTCCCCTCCCCCCAAGTTTTCTGAGTTTGGATTTTTTGCATATAAATTTAAAGTGGTTTAGTTGAATTCTTAATTTGGGAAAAGAAATTCAGTAATGAATACATTTTACTTAATAGTGTTTATATCATATAATTGGATGATACTGCTTGACCCTGAAAAGATTATGTATGTGTTTTGAGTTGAGAATTGTGTTCTCCTGTCCTTTTTAGTGAATTTGGCTGTTGGGGTTGTTCTTAATATTGAGTCACATCATCGATTTTTTTTTTTTCTGTCTAGTAGAACACCTGATTTGGAAGATACCAACTTAACTAAGTTTTCATCTTAGTTTAGGATCTAGAGGTTGAGAATAATGCATTTATAACACATTATAACATTAGTACTAAGATTATTAATAAAGGCTGCTTGAAGTAAATTTGAAGAATTTAGTTTAAATGTCAGTGACAAATAGAACTGAATAAACTAAAGGTTTTATGAAATTTTTATACTAGGGCTATGCATGAAGGGCTTTGAGAACATAGAGGAGGCAGTGATGCTAAGATGTGCAGATTATATCATGTAGGTGATGGAGTGGTCAGGAAACATGGGAGGACTTATTAGAAATAAGATCTGGTGTATGAAGGCGCTTTATAACAAGGTCATGTGCGTTCAGGCTGCCCCGGCTAGTAGTTTGACTCAATGAATGTGTCTCAGGGGTTACCTGTTAAATGCAACACTACTGCTAGTAATTTTCTTTAGCATATAGGAATTGACAAATTAAAATTTTTTTGTTGTGCAGAAAATCATATTTTGAATTATCCTTTATGAATGTGTTCAGCTGTGGTTCATTGGAACAATGGGATTCTGCTGGGCTTATGTGGCTTGTTATGCCATGGCAGGGGCTGATCCTTGCTTTGGATCTGGCTGATTCCCTAGAAATGTGGCAAAGCCATCCCTTTCCTTTCAACACTGTCTTCTTAAGAGCTGAGGATGTTTCTCCAGTTGCTTTTACAAAGCCAGGCTTCATATTTGCCTTTTTTGCCTTTAAGTGAAAGAAGAGCATTTCTAGTTGGTAGTATCTGAAATCCTTTAATTATCCTACTTCATCTTTAGATAGAAAATATTATAGCATTTTCTAAGAATAAAGATTATTTTAAACACAATTTTAAGGGTAAAGTTTCAACTTTTTTTTTTTTAAATTATGGAATTCTGTTTAGTGAAACCACTAGGTGGCAGTATGATGTACAAAATGAAAGGGTTTCAAAGGGTTACAGACTCCTTTTCATATGAAAATATTTATTTGTGTATTATGGGATTCAGATCACCTTCAATTTCATCAAAATTCACTGCTGTCCAGTTGGATCCGACGCACAGCAATCCCTCCTTGGGTTTCGGAGGAGGTATCAGAGGAGGGTATCACTACGGAAGTTGATTGCCCAACCTTCCTTCAAGGAGTGGCTGGTGGGTTTGAACCTCCAGCCTTCTGGTTAGCAGTCAGATGCCTTATGTACTACATCACCAGAAGAGCAATTTCATCAGAACATTTTTTAAAGATACCTTGTCACTTGGTTGAACATACTGCAGTTACTATTTTGTGAGATATTTTAAATAGTACATTTTTAGAAAGTTGAGGTTTTTCTGGTTTCAAGAAAGTGAGAAATTTGGAGAGAGAAGCCTTATAACCCTTTTAACAGGGGCACCTATAGTAGTAGCAGCTGTCTATAAAGCCAGAAAATTTAGTTGAGCAGAGGGTTTTCAATGATCTCTGGTGATGAAAGGTTGATGGCTCAAACCCATGAGGTCTCCACAAGAGGCAAGACCTGGGGATCTGCTCCCAGAAAGATTATAGTGTAGGAAACCCTATGGAACAGTTCTACTTATCCTATAGGGTTGCTGTGAGTCATCGGACACAAAGACACACAACAACAGCAACAAGAAGGGGTTTCTGGCAATGGGAAATAAGAATCATCATTACCTGTCATTGACAGCATCCCAGATGTGTAAGAGAGTGAATGGTTTTCAAGATAATACTAAGATATCTAAAAGGAGCTCTGGTGGTACAGTGGTTAAAACCATTCATCTGCTAACCAAGAGGTTGGCAGTGAACCCACCAGCAGCTCTGGGGAAGAAAGGTGAGGCAGTCTGCTTCTATAAAGATTTACAGCCTTGGAAACCCTATGGGACAGTTCTACTCTGAACTATAGGGTTATTGTGAGTCGGAATCAACTAGGTGGCCATGGGTTTGGTTTTTAGCTTTAAGATATCTTAGTTACCGAATTAAAAATTTCTAAAATATACTAAAAAAACTTGATGAACAAACTTGGTATATATTTGGAAGGAAGAATAATGAGGTATTTTATTGATTCCTCTTAATATTCAATTATGACATTAACCTGCCATTAAGTGTGTTTCTGTATTCCTTCCCCTAGGGTTCTCTAAATGCCATGTGGTTTGCAGAGGTTGGTTGCTTTTGAGTTTTTTAAAAGTATAATAATGCATAGAGTACTTGTGTAAATTACAATTGGAGTAAGAAGTAGATGTCATTATTTTTCTTAGCCACTTCAAATTTCTCCTTGCCTGCTGGCCTAAAATAAAATAGCTGCATCATGCTACAGCTTGACTGTTTTAATTTCTGCTTAAAAATGCACTTGAGTGGATGAATATATATGGATATTTTTGCCTTTCTTTTTTCTTGGTCTCTGGCAGTATTTGTGCACTGTCTATAGTATGCTACTTAGTGATGTTTGCAAAAGAGAATTTACAATAATAATGATGTCTGAACTTTCCTGCATAGGTTAAAGAACTCCGAGAGAAGGCTGAGTTTTATAGGAAACGAGTCCTGGGAACACATTTCTCTCGGGACCACCTGAATCAGATTCTCTCTGATAAAAATTGCTGTTGGGATATCTCTTCAACCACAAGTTCTGAAGGAACCATTAGTAGCAACATCAGAGCTCTAGATCTTGCTGGGTGAGATGTTATTTGGGGATGGTGAAAAGTATGTTACAGTTTATAACGTTTGTTGTTAGGGGCTGTTGAGTCAGTTCATAGCAATCCTGTGTACAACGAACTAAACATAGACCAGTTGAGTGCCTTCCTCACAGTCATTGCTATGTTTGAGCCCATTGCTACAGCCACTGTGTCAGTCTATCTTATTAAGGGTCTTCCCTTTTATTGCTCTCTACTTTATCAGCCATGATATTCTCCAGGGACTGGTCCCTTCTGATATCATAACTGAAGTGTGAGAGACAAAGTCTGGCCATTGTCACATCTAAGGAGCATGTGGCTATACTTCTTCCAGATAGATTTGTTCCTTCTTCTGGTAGTCCATGGTATGTTCAGTATTTTTCACCAACATCACAATTCAAATGCACCCATTCTTCAGTCTTCCTTGCTTCTTGGCTTTCACATGCATTGAAAAGACCATGGCTTGGGTCAGGTGCATCTTAGTCTTCAAAGTGACATCTTTGCTTTTTAACACTTTCAAGAAGTCTTCTGCAGGAGATTTTCCCAGAGCAGTACATTGTTTGATTTTTTTGACTGCTGCTTCCATGGGAATTGGTTGTAGATCCAAGTAAAATGAAACCCTTGACAACTTAAGTCTTTTCTCCGTTTATCATGATGTTGCTCATTGGTCCAGTTGTGAGGAATTTTGTTTTGTTGATATGTGATCCCTAGTGAAGGCTTTATTCTTAGATCTTCATAATAAATGTATCAAGCCCTCTTGGCTTTCAGCAAGCAAGGTTGTATCATCTGTATATCACAGGTTGTTAATGAGTTTTCCTCCAATATTGATGCTGCATCATTCTTCATACAGTCCAGCTTCGTGGATTTTTTGCTCAACATACAGATTGAATAAGTATGATGAAAGGATGCAACCCTGATACACACCTTTCCTAATTTTAAACCATGCATTATCCCCTTACTCTGTTGGAATGACTACTTCTTGATCTGTATACCAGGTACTGCATGAGCACAATTAAGTGTTCTAGAATTCCCATTCTTTGCAATATTATGCATAATTTGTTGTGATCCACACATTTGAATGCCTTTGCATAGTCAGTAAAGCACAGGTAGACATCTTTCTGTTAATTCTCTGGTTTCAGCCAAGATCCGTCTGACATCAGCAATGATCTTGCTCATTCCATGTCCTCTTCTGAATCTACCTTCAGTTTGTGGCAGTTCCCTTTCTATGTACTGCTGGAACCATTTTTGAATTATCTTCAGCAAAATTTTGCTTGCATGTGATATTAACAATACTATTTGCTGATTTCTACCTTCTGCATTCTGTTGGATCACCTTTTGTTGGAATAGGCACAAATATGGATGTCTTCCTGTCAGATGGACAGATAGCTTGAAGATTTCTTGGCATAGATGAGTGAGCACCTCCAGCATTGCATCTGTTTGTTGAAACATCTCACTTGGTATTCTGTCAATTCCAGGAACTTTGTTTTTATGAGTGCCTTATGTGCATCTTGGACTTCTTCCTTCAGTACCTTATGTTCTTGATCATATGCTACCTTCTGAAGTGGTTCAACATTGATCAGTTCTTTTTAAGTATAGTGACTCTCTATTCATTCCATCTTCTTTTGATGCTTCCAGTATCATTCAGTTTTTTGACCAAAAAATCCTTCAGTATTACAACTTGAGGCTTGGATTTTTTCTTCAGTTCTTTCACTTTCAGAAATGATGAATGTGTTCTTTCCTTTTACTTTTCTAAGTCTTTGCACATGTCATTATAATACTTGTCTTCTCGAATGGTCTTTTGAAATCTTCTGTTTAGCTCTTTTACTTCATCATTTCTTTTGTTCGTTTTAGCTACTCTGTTCAAGATCGAGATTCAGAGTTTCTTCTGACATTTGTTTTAGTCTTTTCTTTCTTTCCTGTCTTTTAAATGACCTTTTGCTTTCTTGATGTATGGTGTTCTTGATGTCATCCCACAACTCATCTGGTCTTCGGTCATTGGTGCTGAATATGTCAAATCTAATCTCGATAGAGATGGTTTCTAAATTGAGGTGGGGATATACTCAAGGTCATACGTTGGCTGTCATGGATTTCTTTTAATTTCCTTGAGATTCAACTTGAACTTGCATGTGAGCAATTGGTAGTCTTTTCTGAGGTTGGCCTCTGGTCTTGTTATGACTGATGATAGGGAGCTTTTCTATCATCTCTTTCCACATTATATTCTGTCTGTCAAGGTCCACGTGTATAGTTGCTGTTTGTGCTGTTGAAAAAGGTATTTCCAAGGAATAGGTTGTTTGTTTGCAAAATTCTATCATGTGATCTCCCACGTTGTTTATATCTCCAAGGTCATATTTTCCAAATACTGATCCTTCTTTGTTTTCATCTTTTGCATTGCAATCACTAGTAATTGTATGCATAGTGATTGCATGTTTGATCAATTTCAGACTTCAGAAGTTGGTGAAAATCTTCAATTTCTTCATCTTTGGCATTAGTGGTTGGTGCATAAATTTGAATAATAGTTGTATTAACTGTTCTGTGTGTGAATGTGGATATTACCCTATCATTGGCAGCATTGTACTTGCGGATAGATAATGTTCTTTTTGACAATGAATATGCAATACCATTCCTCTTGAATTTGTCATTCTCAGTATAGTATGTCATATGATACCTGATTCATAATGCCCAATACTAGTCCATTTCAGCTCCCTAGTGTTTAGAATATCTATCTTTAAGCATTCCATTTCATTTTTGATAACTTCCAATTTTCCTAGATTCATACTTCGTACATTCTATGTTGTAATTACTAATGGATGTTTGCAACTGTTTCATTTTGAGTCGAAAGTTTTACTCTATCCATGTTTAGTAAGGTCAATAGTACTTTGAGAAGGCAGCTTTTCCCCAGTTATATTTTGAGTGCCTTCTAAACTGAGAAGGAGCTCTGGTGGTGCAATACCTAAGGCATTTGACTGCTAACCAGAAGGTTGGCAGTTCAAACCCACCAGCTGCTCTGCTGAAGGAAGATGAGGCAGTCTACTTCCATGAAGACTTACTGTGTTGGAAACACAATGGGGATTGCTGTAAGTTGGAATTGACTCAATGGCGGTGGGTTTATTTGTTTTTTTTGGGGGGTGGTCATTTTTCCAGTCTGAGGGACTCATTTTCTGGTACTATATCAGACAATGTGCCACTGCTGTTCATTGGCCAGTTGTTTTCAAAAATAGAATGCAAGTTCCTTCTTCCTAGTCTCAGATCTGCTGAAACCTCCCCACTGTGGGTGACCCTGCTGACATTTGAAATACCACTGGTATAGCTTCTAGCAACACGAAAAGCAGTATGACAAGCTGACAGACAAGTGGTGGTAGCTTATGATAGAATATGGAATTATGGGAAAATGATGTGACTACTCAAAATGGTGTTGTAGTAAAATGGAAATGTGCCAGAATTTATTTTCATTATTTGTCATTTATTCTCTAAGTCCCTACGTGGTACAAACAGTTTGCTCTTGACTGCTAAGCTAAATATTGGCAGGTTGAACCCACCCAGTGGTGCCACAGAAGAAAAGACCTGGTGGTCTGCTTCCTTTAAGGTTACAACCAAGAAAACCATATGGGGCAGTTCTTCTCGGTAACACATCCCGTGAGTCAGCATCAGTTTGATGGCAACTAACAACAGTTGGGCCCAAGCATGGCAACCATTGTGAGGATGGCTCAGGACCAGGAGTTTTCATTCTGTTGTACGTAGGGTTGCTATGAGTCAAAACCGACTCAACAGCACCTAACAACGATAACAGTTTATTCTCTGAAAAATAAAGCTATACATACTTGCTGTATGCACTTGTGTATACATTGTACATAAGGTAAATCTGAAAGGCTATACTTTATAATAATCCTTATTAATAATTAAGAACAGAATGAGATTGACTGTGTAGAGAGAAATCTACTTTTGAAGGGGGAGAGAGAGAGAGAAAAAGAAGTAACAAAAACAGAGAAATAAGCTATTGGTCCATGTCCCATACCATTCATTAATAGGTTTTGTGGCTAATGTGGGATTTGGGCCCTGATTTTAGGAACGAATTCTCTGATGTCTTGGGTTTTAAAGTGAATATGATTTGACTGTTTATCAGAGATTACATGTTGATTTGTAGCAAATAAAATAGTTCTTAGTTGTCACAGTCTATTAATAGAGTCAAGCATACCAAAGTAACCCATCAATTCTAATTATGTGACATATGATTGAAAAAGTTGATCATCAGATTTATTCTTTAATTATGTCTTTTACACTATCTAAAGTGTAAAACTTGAGCCATCTTATTTGACTTGAGAGTATGCTTGAGTTTGTGTACAAAACCGTAATTGAATAACTAAACAAGTTAGGTCATGTGGGGTTTTGGTTTACATGAGTAAATGCCAGTTTAGGGGATAAGAATGAGTTTTGCCAGCATAGATGCAGGCATGTATCATGTCTGAAGGTAGGAGTAAGAGAGGATAAATATATTTTACTCTGGAATATTTTAATAGAAACTCTAGAATACAAGTTTCTTTTTTACTGTAAAATGAACTCTTAATTAGGTTTCTTTCCTCACTGTATTGGATAAGGCAATATCTGTGGAAAATTATATATTTGTGAACAATGGGAGGGAATGATGGACTCACTAAAATTAGTATAAAAAATGAAACTCAAACTATTAAAGTTTAGAGTGAAACTTGTTTTATTTTGCAGAGATCCTACAAGCCATAAGACTTTACAGAAATGCCATTCCACCAAACGAGAAGAAAAAAGACCTATCTTGGAAGAACAGCCCTCAAAAGATACCTCTGAGAAATTGGGTGTGTCAGGTGCTCCTCCTGTGCCTGTGAGAAGACGTCTTGCTTGGGACGCAGATAACACCGATGAAGATATGCAGAAACAGCCAAGGGGGAAAGAGAAGGATGAGGAAAGTGAAAGGGATAAGCAGGTTCATGTGGAAGATTTAGATAAGTTGGAAGTAAATGAAAGATCTAAGGCAGACAAGATAAGAGAAGGGTGAGAATTTTATATTACTTATGAAACAGACACATTGATGTGCATGCTTTAGTAGTTCTTTTATTGCTAAGTATACTATGGCTTGGTTCCAAAGACCAGGTTGTTTTTTGAAAATTGATATTAAGTGAAAATGGAGGATGACTGCATCTTTACATATCTGCCAGATTTCATCATTACGTAACTGCCAAATTGTATCATTACATAACTGCCAAACCACTGAGAATCATGGCCTAGCTAAGTTGGCACATAACCGTCACAGCCAGTGTTACTCTCACCTTGCACCTTTGCGTTCTTTACTGCTGGATGTACATCATTAATGTGCAAAGTAGTCAGACAGTAGGTTTTTTTTACTATTGTAAATGCGAAATGTCAGGTAACTGTTGTTGTTGTTGTGTGCCGTCGAGTCGGCCCCGACTCATAGCGACCCCTCCTTGGGTTTCCGAGGCAGTATCACTACGGAAGTAGGATTGCCCAACCTTACTTCCGAGGAGTGGCTGGTGGGTTTGAACCGCCAGCCTTCTGGTTAGCAGTCAAGTACTGCTAACTAGATAGTCAATAAATGCGTTAGGTGTATAGTAGTTTTTACATTTTTGGTCATATGACTAATAAAGAGTAGATTTTACTTTAATGTCTTGAGGTAAGCATTTCTGTGTGGTTTTTGATTTGATTCACTCAGGTGTTTGAGCCACCACCAATTGGTAATTAAACACTTGAATACTGAGCTACTTGGGGAGGAAGTTGTTAAGGTTATTTTTATTTATGTTTTCCTAATTAAGATTGGGCAATCTACTCCCATAGAGATACTGCCTTGGAAACGCAAAGAGGGGTTGCTATGAGTCAGAAATGACTTAATGGCAGTGAGTTTGGTTTTTTGGCTTATTAAGATTTATTAGATTTGTAATGTTTCTGGATGAAAGGTTATGATTCAAGAAAAAGAGCTGAAGTTCTTTAGTATCAGATGGTTATGCCAAAAAGAAGAGGGAAAAAAAATGTACTGTTAAAAAGTGATTTCTTCAAATAACTAATTCCTTTAGATTTATGTGCAAGATGCTTTGGGGAATTCTTCCCTACCGTTGATAATGGTGCTTTTTGCCCATAGTCCTTACCATTTATTTATGAGTTTTGCAGCTAATCTGGAATTTAGGCCTCGATTTAATGGGAGCATTCTCTGATGTTTTCTGGCTGACTTGCAGTGAACTTGTTTCTTTGCCAGTACTTAGTGACTCTTAACTGGCTGTGGACTTGATTGTAATTTTTTTCAGAAACAAAATTGCCTTCTCTTATACATTTCATACTTTATTATACATAACCTTGTAAAAATATTTTTGATCATATTTCTGGAGAAACACTTCATAATAGGTTATTTCAATTTGTAGGTCAGATTCTTCTTCTATATCCTCAGGAAAAGGAGGCAGGCTTCCTACACCAAAGCTGAGAGAACTTGGTGGAGCCCAGAGAACTCATCATGACTTAACCACTCCAGCTGTTGGTAATAGGCAGACACCATGAAGTCCTTACTTAACCTACTTTTTCTGTAAGATAATTTGTTTAATTGAAACCCGTTATCATCGTTGTTTTTCTAGGTGGTGCTGTTTTAGTGTCCCCATCTAAAGTGAAGCTTCCAGTGGCAGAACAGAGGAAACAAATGTTCCCTCAGGATGGCTCAGAAATGTCAAAGAATGGTTATAGCAAGGTAAGTATTTACATATTGGGGAAAAGCAGCTCTTTAGGAAGTGATTATTTTTGTCCCATGTAAATGAATAGGTTCATGTTTTAGAAAATTCTGTCATATATGAAGATGATGCTATTAATCTACTTTTAGCAAGGCAAAGGCAGTCGATTTTTCAGCATTACATATGCTGCTGACCTGTGAATAGTTATCTTAATAGAAAGAAGAAAAAAACACAATTATTGAGCATATACTGTGTGACAAGGGTATTCATTCATTCATTCAGTGTTTTTTTGATTGTATTCTAATTTTATTCTAGATACTGTTTTATACACTGTAGATACAGCAGTGAACCAAACAGACACAATGCTGGCCCTCATTGAACTTATATACTAGTAGAGGAGAGAGACAATAAACAAGATGACTAGGTAAAATACTTAGTATATTAGTTAATGGTAAGTATTAAGGAGAAAAGTAAAGCAAAGAAAGTGATTAGGAAGCGGCCAGGGTGTCCTCCCTGGAAGGTGACATTTGAGCAGAATCTGAAGGAGGTGAGACTTTGACCAGTGTATAACTGGGATGGCATTCTAGGCTAAGAGAACAGCAACTTCGGAGTCCCTGAGGTAGGTGGATGCCTGATTTCCTTGAACAACATTCAGAAGGTTATTGTGGCTGGAACAGAGAGCAAGAGGAGAGTAGTGTAGCTGAGTTCAGAGACATAATTGGGTGCTAATAGGTGACAGTGTCAATGAATGGAAGGTCTCAGCAGAGCCTTGAAGGTCATAGAAAAGATTTGGACTTTTATTTTCAATGAAATGAGAAGCCATTAGAGGAGCAGAGGAATGACATGATTCTGCTTAGGTTTTTTCCAAGGTCACTCTGGATGCTTGTTGTGAATAAACAGTAGGAGAGCAAGAGTGTAGGGGGAATACCAGTTAGGAGTGTATTATCGTATCCAGGCAAGAGATGATGGTTGTCTGGGGCATAGTGGTAGCTGTGGAGGTCATGTGATGAAGTCCAGTCCTGGATACGCTTTGAAGATACAGCTGACAAGATCTGTTGATGGATTTGTTGGGTAGAAGAGAGAAAAGAATCAGAGATAACTCAAGATTTTTGTCATGAGTGAAATTTGATGTATGACCAGGATGAGTTGTATGTTTTTCTCTAGCATTTTTGGCTGCAGAGGTTCAAAATAGGTGGAGTGTTGGGTTTCATTGAGGTTTGCATTTTGTTGAGAAAAAGTAGAAAAAGGGGTTAGGGAGTTAAGGTATATGCAAGGCAGTAATTGGCCATTAAAGTTGAGTTAGAGAGGGAAAATAGGACTTGAAAAGTAAACTACAGTGATAAAATGGCAGGATCGATGCATGGAATGTACAATTTAAGTCAACATATTTAAAGATTTGTTGGAATGAGAGTACATGAGGAGGTTAGTTTTACAGTTAGGAAGTGTGGTGGTTCATTAACTGAGATAATAGAGAAGTGACAGTTACTGGTAATGACAAGGTTGAGCATATGATGATGGGAGTAAATGGCTGAAGTAGGATAGAGAAGATCATTAAAAGAGTGGAGGTCAATGAATTGAGATCATCTGGGTAGTTACTGAGATCAACAAAAATTATACCAATCCAGCACTGGAGAGAGTGTTATAACCAGGAACCAAAATATTCAGAAAATTGGGGGTATGTCCAAGTTGTTGGTAGATAGCTGCAAAAGAAGAGGAAATGGGGTGGTTTAATGTGAGATTCAAAGCTCAGCATTTTTAGGGAAAAGGATGGGAGAGAATGGTCTTGAAAGAGGCATTGAGGAGCAAGAAGGATAGCTGTGCCAACTTCACATACGGGCTATAGGATGACAGTCTACCAACTTCGGCAGAGTAAGAAGATGAAGGAAGCATTCAGAGGAGAAATTGAAAATCCATAGGGAATTTTGCTGTTGACTGTTCATGAGTCACAGGGGCACAGTGCAAAGTTTCCAGATGTTGGGGAGGAGTGGGAGATGGAATCAGAGCTGAAGTGCAGAGCCTTGTGGGGACAAGAATGTGGGCCATAAGGGGTAACTTGGTGTTCTGGGATTTTAGTGGTGAATGTCTTAAATAGGGATACTATATGCTGAAAAGTATTTGTGTAATTCTAGCAGCCAGTCCTAAAATAGCCTTAAAAAAATGGGAGCAGGAGTAAACTTCCTAAACACAACATTAATAAAAATCTTTGGCAAATATCACAGTAAATGGTTACATACTAAATGTAGTCTGTTTATTATATGAATGTAACAGAAGTGCTTGCTGTTATTATTATCATTTAACATTTTTTTTGGAAATAATAGATAATTAAGAAAAGAAAATAAGCTCAACAAATATTGAAGAAGAGAAAACTTTTAAAAAAATTGAAAATTGGTTATGATTGGTTATATTTGTATAGCTGGAAAATCTAAGAGACTCATTAAGAGCTGTTGAAGCTGTTAAAAGAATTTTATAAGATGATAATAAGAAATGGGGAGGAAACCTTCTAATAGCAGCCAAAATTTGAATTTTAGGAAAATAAATTAATGAGAAAAAGAGAATATATGGTCAAGAGTTTAAAATTATAGTAAAGAGCATAAAATGAAACTACAGAGTAGAGGACTTAATCATAAAAATGTCAGTTTCTCTCATATAAATTCAATAAATTTAATGATACTCCATTTTATGACCTTGATAAACTGTTTCTTTTTATTTTTACATCTTGGCTATTGGATTCTAAATTTCATCTAGAAGAATAATGTGGGAAAATTAAGAAGGAGATTTAACAATGAGGAGGAAGACCCTGCCTCCTAAATAAATAAAACGAAGTCTGATACTAAATTTGACAAAGGTTACTTACATGGGAATAGGGAAATAAATCAATGGAGTCAAATGAAGATGCATTATTTAAAAACAGATTTTAAGATAATTGGTGTCTGTTTGGAAGAAAAATATTTACCCCTACCTCAAATTATGTATTAAAAGATGTTTTAACATGGATTATAAAAAAGCCAAATGTGAAATCAAACTAAATGAATAAAGGAAAATACAGAAAAATATTTTATGGGAGAGGTGCTCTCAAGCAAAAAAGCAAAGCTTAAAAACCATATGGCAAAATAAAATTAGATTGAAATAAACAGATTTAAGATTTCTGTACTTTAAAAAAGGAGCTCTGGTGGCATAGTGCCTAATGCATTTGACTGCTAACTAGGAGGTTGGGGGTTCAAACCTACCAGCCACTCTGCAGAAGGAAGACTGGGCGATCTACTTCCATAAAGATTTACCACCTTGGAAACCCAAAGTGGGTCACTGTGAGTCGGAATCGACTCGATGGCAGTGAGTTTGGTTTTTTTTTGTTTGTTTGTTTGTACGTTAAAAACTCATGATTGGCAGTTTGTGAAAAAAAGCTTATTCTTTCTAGTTCATAAAAGCATCTGAAAATCAATACGTTAAAAGGGAAAAGGGATATCTAAAAAGTTATTTCACAGAAGAATAGTGGAAATTTAAAAAAACAAGATACAGTTTTTTATTTTAAAAATTTTAAAAGAGTAATGACATTTATTGTTAGTAAGCATATGAAAAACCAGACAATTTTATATATACCTTTAGTGGAAGTGTAAGTTGGTGGTACAGCTTTTTGTAGTATAGAAGTTTTGTGGTATAAAACTTAAAAAACACATAGATCCTCTAATCCAGCAGTTTCTGCTTATTTCTTCTCCTCCTTGACTCCTAAGAATTTTTAAATTTGAGCTTCTGTTTTTGATAATTAAAAGTAAACATACATTTATTTTAATTCTTGAAACTTCCATAAATGAATTTTGAAAGTAATAGCCATTTGAAGCTTAGGTATCAGTCTAAAAGTGACACCTCCTTATAAAACATTAATGCTTCACAGTTTTTATAAAGTAAGTAACATCCATCAGCTGCATGAATAGCAACATACTGCTTTAGAGTAGCAATGTACTGTATATAGACAACATTACAATTTCCCATGTTGCTTTAAATTTTTCTGCTTTCTAGCAACTTTTATTTTTCTGTTTTTTAAAACACAGTTGTGCTGTGTTTTATTTGTAGGGTATATAACAAACATAGGTTAAAAGAGAAACCTCACTTGGTTCATGGTGTTTTATAGTAATATTCAATATAAATTGAGTAACAACAATTTCTGCCTTTGGTCTGTTGTGCATATTTGAGTAATATAAAACTAATATAAAATGAGGGAATCCGGGTGGTGAAATGGTTTGTCATTTGGCTACTACTGAGAGGTTAGAGGTCTGAATGTACCCCGCGGCTCTGAGGGAAAAAGACCAGGTGCTCTGTTCTGTAAAGATGGAAGCCTAGAAAACCCTATGGGGCAGTTGCATGGGGTCACTATGGATTGAAAATGACTTGACAACACCTAGCAACAACATGTTGTTATATTTAGCTTTTTATCAAACTGTAAATTTATTTTGATGTAAAGTCTGTCTGGCTTACAGCAGTATGAACATCTGTGAGACAGTTTTGGATTCAGCTGATTCAAGCCTTAAGCACAGATTTTTGGTTTGTTTTGCTATCTTCCCCTTCTAACTTACCTCTTGCCGCAAAACTCCTTATTTATCTTTCAAGAGTGTTTCTACCCATATTCTTTTTACTTCTACCTTGTCAATTGCCATGAAGTTGACTCTAACTCATGGCAACCCCGTGTGTGTTAGTGTAGAACTGTGCTCCATATGGTTTTCAGTGGTGAGTTTTTGGAGTTTGATTGCTAGGGCTTGCTTTTGAGGCATATCTGGGTGGACTCGAACCTTCAGCTTTTTGGTTACCAGCCAAATGCAGTAATAGCACTTTCTAGGAACATAGACCCTATCGTTGGTCATTAGTACTACTAAGTACCAAGAAGCCACTTTTAAAAAAACTTTTCTTTTTATTTTAAATTTTGTTGATGTTTTATTCTGACAGGAACATTAGCTCATTGTAAATCAGTTCCAAGGAAGTTTTGCTGGGCCGGGAGATGCCATTTTTGCAAGGTTGTGATCTTCCTCTC